GTGTGTCTTTTTGTCTTTTTTCCATGAAAAGAATGGACAACCTGCGTCCAGTTCTATACGTTTCAACTTTATGGTACAGACACAAACTCAATTATAAAAAATTTAAGATTTTTAGAATGCGGCACTTGCCGTATCTTCTCTTTCTCGGTTTGACCAGAAGCGAAGATGTCCGAATTGATTGTCATCCGGAGCCTGGAGCTTCTAAGAAGCAGTGTGAAAGTAGAGATTGCATCTGGAGCGAGAGCACAGCAGTGGTATGAGATTTTTTTGATCTAACAAGGTCTTTATCAAAAGGAACAAGGGGTTTCTTACAGGAAGGAATACCGTATTGCTACATGAAGCCAGGTATTGGATACAAGTTTTTGTCAGCTGCAGCGGAGGTAACTGAGACGATTTTTTGCTGTAAATTCATGATTACACTCAGGTGGTAACACTCACCAAAAACGACGGACCAAAGAATCCATGGGGCGAAGATTTTGAACAAATTCTCTTTACCCACAGCTATATCGGAAAAACTCTTAATGTCAAAATATACGCTCCTAACAGGTAACACTTTATATTTGATCAGAAAACTATCAATTGCCAGTTTTATTTATTTCACTGCAGATTCGAACCACCACTTGATCTACCTCGTGAGCCATCCAAGTCAAATGATGAGCTGAGGGTGAGCGGTAGCAAAACTTTTTCTTCCATTTTTGAATATCTCCTTTATAAATACTATGTTCTCTCAGCTTGCTACCTACGATCATGACAATCCATTTCACTTCACTATCTTACGTAAATCCACTCAAACAAGTTTGTTTGACACTTCAGCAGGTACGTGAATAGTTTGAGCAGTTTAATTTAGTAGGAAAAATCAAAGCAAGCTAATTCTGTCAAGGTTGTACCAGTTCTTCAAAATTCTGCTTTTTGCTTCAATTCACTTCTCCTATCCAACTATGTTCGAAATGTTAAATAGAAAACTGCATGACAAAAAAAAGCAGCAGCTTTGAAAATTTGCCTGTAGTGACAGTTCTACAATCGGTGAGATAAGCAATCCCTTGAATAAGCACGATTGACATGGTCATTAGTTACGTTAGTGACCCTTCTGCCAAAAACGTTCGAAGGAAAAGGCAAGGTTGTTTATAAGACGGTAAAATGACACAAAATGACAAATGACAAAAAAAAATGACACAAAATGAAAAATGACACATGAAATGGTGGAGGTCATGTCGTAGTGGTGGCAAAAATTAAGCATATTCATGTGCTCAAGTGTTCCTAACGCTTGGAAAAAAGCTTAAGATCATACTAGGAGAAAAGTCCGTTCTAGATATCAAAATTCACCTACAAAAGCTGTTTCTGCCACTTGCGCCTCAGTCGAATAAGATGAAAGCGTATTTTTTGCTACACTCTATTAGATTGTTTCATACCCGTAACGTTACCATGAACC